ACGTGCTACGCATGTTTAAAAGACACACGCATGTGTGTGGGTGTGTAATTGTACAGCACAGCCAATCAGCTGCATATTCACTGCATTTTTATTTACCCAGCATATCCACTTAAAAGTTTTTAAAGTGGAAATATAGCTTTCAAATGGTAGGTATGAGTGACAGTCTTAGCAAAATAATAATTTAACTGAAATATTAATAAATACAAAATTGCTATATCTGAAAGTCCCTACCACCCCATTGACAAGCAATGCTTATTTACAATTTTTTGCTATTGGCTACTTTAGTTTAGCTTAATTTCCTCCACAGACACAGATGTTATATGTTATTGATATAATATCACCTTGTCTTCAGTATTGAGACTAAAATGTTTATGATGGAGGATTCTGTCTTTACAGCCATTCCTGTATCTGCTGCAGTGTGATACAGGCCTCAAGCCAGAAGCTGCAACTGGTTTAGCCCAAGTCTGAAAAGGGGTTTGAATTGAACTGGAGATTAAACCTCTAGAGCTGGTGTTTCAGACTATGTATTGCTCACCCTTGAAGCACATGAAAGCCAATGAGGCAGCAGGTATCGCTGCCAAGATAGATATTAAAAATGTCAGGGTAGCTTCTTGAAAAGTTTGCCAAAAAAAAAAAAAAGCTTGAAAGTTGCGTATCCAACATCGTTTGGCATCTGGTACCTCCACCACTGTTTTTCTAGGTCAGCATGGAGGCAACTTCTTGATCCCTTGTTGTATTTGGATACACAGATTCAGGATTAAGGCACCAATACAAACACTGGAAGAAACTTAGCCAGGTGTGGGACTCAAATCGCCAGCCCTGGACATATGAAGGTACAATCCAAACCTCCTTGGATCCTTATGGACTGTCTTAATTTGGTCATTTAATAGAAAAGAAGACCCACTCTGAGGGCAGAGCAACCTGTAGCTGCCCTTGGCTGCTTTTAACTCCGCTTGTTTTTCCCATCGATTACACGCACTGCACTCATGGGTCCTCTAACTGAAAGCATCGCTCTTAGTGCCCTGTATATTTAGCTATATTTATTTTTATATAGTGTCTTTCCCGACATGGTTGCCCAATAACATTCAACAATGAATCAGATAACAGTGTCTCTTGCTGACATGTCACAATATATGGTGTTACGAGACATTCTGCAGTCTGCTTGCGCTAAGGAAAAGTTCACTATATGGACAAAAGTAATCGGACACACCTCTCAGTCATTGAATTCAGGTGTTTCATTCCGACCCATTGCCACTGCTGTATAAAATAGTCAGGTTTACAAACATTTGTGAAAGAATGGGTCATTTTGAAGAGCTCAGTGAATACAGTGTGGTACTGTCTTAGGATGCCAGTGTTGTAATTTCATTTAGTAAAATTTCTTCCCTGCTAGATATTCCACGGTCAGCTGTAAGTGGTATTATTGTTAAGTTTAGCATTTAGGAACAACAGAAACTCAGACACAAAGCGGCAGACCATGTAAAGTAACACAGTTAGGGTTGCTGAGTGCTGAGGCGCATCCTGCGTAAAAGTCGCCAACTTTTTGTTGACTCAAAAACTGCAGATTTCCAAACTTCACACCAGGGGCTTCATGGAATGGGCTTCCATGGCTGAGCAGCTGCATGCAAGCCTAACATCACCAAGCCCATGCCAAACGTTGGATGAATCTGGAGCTAGTGATGGGCAAAATAATACTTATGAACCATGTGATGTATTTTTTGACTCCACTAGATGGTGCTGTCTGTTCAAAAAAGGGTTCAAAGCATGCCCCAAAGCAAGCCAAGAGCACCATCTAATGGGGTCAAAAAATACAGAAAATGGTTCATGAAGCTTCATTTGCCCATGACTATCTGGAGCACTGGAAACGTGTTCTGTGGAGTGACAAATAATAAAATCACGCTTCTCTGTCTGGCAGTCTGATGGATGAGTTTGGGTTTGGCAGATGCCAGGAGAACGTTACCTGCCTTACTGTATTGTGCCAACTGTAAAGTTTGGTGGAGGAGGGATAATGGTATGGGGGTATTTTTCAAGGGTTTGGGCTTGGCCCCTTAGTTCCAATGAAGGGATCTCTTAATGCTTCAGCGTACCAAGACATTTTGGACAATTCACTGCTTCAAACTTTATGGGATCAGTTTGGGGAAGGCCCTTTTCTGTTGCAGCATGACTGCACACCAGTGCACAAAGCGGAGTCCATCAAAACATGGTTGGGTGATTTTGAGGTGGAAGAACTTGATTGTCACAGAGCCCTGACCTCAACCCCATTGAACACCTTTGGGATGAAATAGAACAGAGATTGCAAGCCAGGCCTTCACATCAAACATCAGTGCCTGACCTCACAAATGCTCTTCTGGATGAATGGGCAGAAATTCCCTCAGACACACTCCAAAATCTTGTGGAAAGCCTTCACAGAAGAGTGGCATCTGTTAAAGCTGAAAAGGGGGACCAGCTCCATATTGTTGCTATGGATTTAGAATGGGATGTCATAAAACTTCCCGTAGGTGTAATGGCCAGGTGTCCCAATACTTGTGTCCATATAGTGTATGTATAACTCTCTTCTAATGCACAGAACCACCTAGTGCTTCACTCCAGAAAATTGCTTATGTTGCTTGAAATATGTGGCGACACAGAATTTGAGGATTCCCTCTCACTCTTTTCCATAGAAATATGCAGTCTGGATATTGAAAAAAAAGTCTTATGTTTGTTTTCCCTCAGACCTTTCCAGGCTTTTATTGAGTCATATGATTGTTAACCTATTTTAGCTTTATTTAATGCATGTTTTTTTTTTCTTTTAATGGAACTTGGTGACGTACAGAGGCACATAAGTTACTACTCATTCTGATTCCTTCATCTTCTTTGTCTTATTAGGTTAATATTGCCAATGTACAGGAATGTTTTATGGATATATTGCTTGCTAAAGTGTTAATGAAATAATGAACTAACTCTTTTCAAGTGATTAGTTACTGGGCTCAATGTATTGAGTGGTTAAGTATTGAGCCAAAATGAAATTTAGGGTAATTTGGCCTTTTCCCACCATCCATTACCTATGAAGTTAATGTAATTAACATGATTGATTCACCCCTCCCCCCCCCACACACACACACACACACACACACACACACACAACAACAACAACAACAACAACATAATATAATTACTCTCTCCTGTTCCAAGTCCCAGTTAATCAATAGAGACGGACAGTGCTGGTCAACCTATTAAGCGACAGTCGCCACCTGCCTAGGGCACCCTCTTCTGAGGGGCAGTGACTTAGCCGGTTGATTTCACTCTGCTTTTGTGAAGCTTGCCCATGGTGCCACCTGAGCATCAGAAAGGTATTTGGCGAAGGCGACACTACTGTGCTAGTCTTAGAAGTAAAACCAGGGCTGGAAATTAAGACAAAGCTTAGATGAAAGGTTAATTAACACTAAACTGCTGGCTAGTAAAAAATATTGTGTGTCAAACTACATTTTTTGCTGAACTATCCCAGGTAGTTAGAATCACAAATCCTTAAATTCTACCCAAGGGCAATCCCAGAGATTCTGGGGGTCCTCCAACCCCCCCCCAAGTATGGTAAAATTTATTACCTTTATTTAACTGTGAAGTGTAAATTAAAAATATCAACAAAGAGACTTTAACAAACACATGACTTTTATTTTCACTTTGGTGGTAAACAGAATACATAAATAAAGCTAATTTGTCGTTGTGATGTACTATATAATTGCCCGCCCTTGGGGCCCCCTCCCCGCTGGGGGCCCCAGGCCATCACCTGCCCTGCCTGTCCTGTCACTGCACCTCTGGTTCCAGCTCTGAGTGAGACATAAGTAAATAAATGGAATTCCTAATGTAACTGTTTGACAGTTATTAGATTGATTATTCGATGCATTACAGAAGTTACCTTTAAAAAATTTAAAACTCTTTTGAGATCGAGTCACACCGTATATTCAGCTGAATTCCCAGAGTAATGAGTGAGCCACTGTCAGCCTACCATTAGGAGCCTAACAGTGGGCGCATTTCTGTGCATTGTGATTTGCATATTATACTCTATACATTATTAGAGAGAAATCAGAGCTTAACGGGAAGCCTGGGGAGGATATTAGTGTTCCTAAAAATGGGGAACCATGCATTATTCATGACAGCAATTATTTCATGGAGACCCGAGAGACGCATCCTAGTACCATATTGATCGTGGCAGGAAATGTAACTCCGAAACACGGCCGAATCCTTTTAAAAACTTGTTGCCGATTAGATGGCAATTAATTAGTGCTCCACAGTCGGACAAACGCCAGCAGCCGCATTCGTGTTCCTCATGAAAAAAGGCAGATAATCGATAGCTCTTCGGTTGTGTACCCGGAACAGTAAACCCTTGAGCACTTCTATAATTACAGAGGCGCAGACCAAAGAAATACATGAGAATGAAAATGTAATATCATGCGGTTTTTGGAAGCCATGGGTGGAAAACACAAGGAAATACAATGTGTCACAGGTAGTTGTGTTTGATTTTAACAATATTTATTTCCTGAAAAATAAGACACTGAAGGAATCAGAATTTGTTGTTTATGACAGACAAGACATACAGCTTCTATTTGATGTTTTATGTAGGTTTTACAAGTAAACAACTAGTGAAGGTATTTTATAAATCTATTTTTTTAATTACTTGGATATTATTTGGTTATTTTTCAAACAGAATTCAAAATTTAGCAGTGTGGTGCTTATAGATATACTACATAAATATATATTTGAATTACATTTATATATTTATATTTTAGATCCTATAGTTAGGTATGAAAACCATTGTATTATTAGCTGGGAAAGGAATGGAGACTGACCATCGCGGCGATTTGATTTGATTGGTCAAAAATGTGCATGTCAATTAAAAATCCATTAATATGTGGAAGATTTTTTTGACGCAAAAAAATCTGAAGAGTAAAGGGTGTGGCTTCTTTATTTTCAACAGCACTCTCCCCCACCCCCACTGCCCCCCACCCTACGCACCTTTGCCTTGTTTTTATTTCAGAAGGTAATGGAATCTGCTGTATCTGCATCCTACCCAAAGCCTTCCAGACAGATCTGTGTTATTTAAGCAAACAGGAGAGCCTGGCACAGGATGCTGATTAATATTCCTTTAGAGAGGTAAGGGAAAGAGAGAGGGAGAGGCTGTGTGTCTGTGTGCGCGCCTTGCTGCCTCCCCCTCACCCATTACAGCCCCCTTCTGCTCAATGTGAGCCTGCTGCCCGCTGCTTGCTAGGCAACCAGAAGCACCAGTATTGCACTGCACCACTGAGGAGCGGACGAACAGACCCAGCCCGGCTTTTCCACATTCTCTCTCGTCCATCCGTCAAACACCCTGTTCCGCTCTGAGGCTGAAGCTACCATGGCTAACATTGTAGCAGGTAGGATGCATTAAGCTTTGTTTACCGCCTGAAATACACCTATGGATGCTTTCAAATATCTGCATAGGCATTTTATACAAAGTGGGAGGGATGCAGTGGTCAATTGAATTATTGTTTTTTTTTTTTACTTAATGTAATGTTTTGGTTATTTTCGTGACTCTGCAGAGATTATGTGGGTGGTACTGAACAGGGACCATATATCTGTAATATTAATTATAATAGTGATGCTGATCTATTGACATGCAGCTAAGGGTCAATTGAATTATAAGGAAATTGAAGGGGGGAAAAAAAACCTTATTTCATTGGTTAAGATGGGAGTAGTTCACAAATCACATCCGTCTTGGAATCCTCATCCAAAAAACAGATATTTTTAATAAAAATATGTATATGTCAAAGACTGTTTACACTGTGCTAGAAAGCCAACAGATTGTGATCGAAAGGTTAGAACGGAGCAGGAGTTCATGGGACCTTTAACAAAAGGCACATGGTATTTTGCTGCAGAGCTTGCGATTTGAGGATTCGCTGCGCCGCTTTTAGATGCGAAGGTATTATTTTGGTGAACGGATACTCTGGCAGCAATGCAGAGCGATAAGGCTTGTCATGTGATAAACCACATCTTAGAGTGATGCCATTGCTGTTGTGTTTTATGCAGCATTTTTTTTTACAGGGAAAGGCTGTCCTTTTAATAAAATGTTGAGATAGGCAGGATAGGAACTGAAAAAGGCCTTTTTCCAGTGGGCTGGTTTGAAGTCAGCAAGATGGGAAATGGTGACGAACTGGTCCTTAATTATGTTTACACGTATGAGTGGACACTGGGACAAAGGGAAAAAGTGAAGTATTCCATACCGCCAAGTGCTTTTGCTCCAAATAAAGGGCACCTTGATTTAAGTCCTCCATTCTGGCATAAAGGCCCTTCGTTAGCAAGCCACTGAGAAGCTAAAGATGGAAGTGGGGGGGGGGGGGGGGGGGGCTGTTACCTTTCTCACAAGCCATCTAGAAGAATCCATTTTTCACCCAGGCTACAGTCTTTTATGTCACCCAAAAATACGGACGGCATAGAAGTGAAAAGGCATCTTTCAAATATGACACATTTTCCGTGGAGTGGATTTCAGTCACACTGTCTGTAAATGAAATATTTATGCAATCAGCTTGTATGTTATGTAAAAGTTTGATTTGTTTTCATACATATGGCACATGCTGTTTACCCAGAGTGCTTAAATAAACCCCCAGCAGCCTTACACTGCAAAACGACAAAGACACTAAACAAATACCCTGTGAAGGACTGGCAACCCATCCGGGGTTTAATCCCAGCCTTGGCTACTATGCTGCCTGGAATAGACTCCAGGCCCCCATGATTCTGACCAGGATTAGTGGTTGAGAGATGGATGGATGGGTAGATGGATGGATGGATGGGTAGATGGATGGATGGATGGATGGATGGGCTAAATAAAAATTAATTTAAATAAATACTCAGTCACGTATCTCTTCATAGACACAGACCTGGAGTTTCGGCATATTATGTAACATCTGTTGTAATGAGCTTCACAGAAAAACAAGACTGGAAGGGTTCAGTCCTGGCAGAGGCTTCCTGAAATACTCTCAATGACATCCTTTCATCATGTTTTAGGATAGTTCCACTTTCACTGTTTTGTCGCAATCCAATGCCATGTGTCCAATGATAAACTACATGGGCTTAGGAAGTCATTTCTCCTACATGTTTTTTTTAGTAATTCAGGAATAATTAAAGTAACCTCTGAGTAAAACTTTTTCATACACTGACAGAACATGATATAATCTAAAGACTTATGGGTCAGACAATCCAGGAATGTATTATTTATAATTCTCATACAGCTCTTTAGATATGCAGCAGTAAAGTCGTTTCTTGGGCTGTGTTATTAGCATGGTAGCTGAACTGATTCCCATGAGTAAGAGCTTTTCTTCTCCCAACAGGCATGATATAGGGTATATTTTAGTATTTCTTAGAATAATATTTCATTATTAATCGTTATTAATAATTAGTTAGAGGCACTGGATTGGCAACGAAAAACTGTACTATTACAAGCTGATGTAAGTGATAGGGAAGCATGAATCAGAGAAGCCACACAGCAGTGTGGCGTTACCGTGGTGTTTACCAGACAGCACAGGAGCGTCATGGCGTGTCGGCGCCACAGGGGGGCACCACCTGAAGCCCAGTGCCTCCCAAAACACAGAAAATGCTGTCGATTTTACCCTTCAATTAAACATATAATTATGAAGAAAGTACAAAAAAATTTAAATAATTAACAGAATAAAAGAAATATAGAGGTAGTAAAGTAGAAATAAAGATCCGCAAATAATGAACATGTAGATAATAAACATATCTGCATATTTATTCACGCTTAGATCACACCTTCACTCTTGACTATCCTCGATTATTTGAATCCAGTCTTCAATTATTCTATTTTAAAACTATAATTTTATATATATATATCCATATATATATATGGATGGATGGATGGATATATGCCAAACAAACAATTCATTGACTTACAATACAGCCCCCATACCTCTTCACCTTACTGTAGAGTACCGTATCGCTAGCAATTGCTCCTTATTACAAATTGCTTCTTTCTGTCAGGAACAATCACACGGGCCCAACCAGGCCAATTTTCAATGGCAGAGGAATAAGCTACTGTATAGAAAGTGTCATTCGGGTGACTGCGGCGGTAGGTGACTTTGTGTTCCCATTAGACCAGGGTAAAACTTAGTCATTGATTTAGACACTAAGAATGATGGCTTTGTTCCATTTTTAAATTTCCAGCTATCAGAGAGCATAATATGCTCCTGTGCAGTAATGTGCAGGACATTTCATGAGTTCTGTAACAGGCCATCCTCATAGTTGTCTTAGCAGTAGAAGATACTGTAAGTAGGATTCTCCTGCAGGACTTGTGGTAAAAGCCTTGTTGTCAGGATGTGTCTCTCTGAAGTAAATCAGGTCAGCTTCTGATGTCAGGCAGTCCATCTCTGAAATAAGCAGGCCAGATTGGTTTGCCTGTTATTCTCTGAACTAAAAAGATTAAATTCTGATTTAACAATGACCCACTGTGTTTCTAAAGAGAGAGTTTTAGTAAGTTTTCACATACAGGTCTTGTCTGTCCTAAAATATTATTCAGGAATCCTGGTGTTGGTAGCAGTTATTGTAAGTGGTGCTGGATGAAAATTCATCCATGGTATCATTGCATAGATACTATATAATATTCCAGTCATGCTGGGTGAAATCTGGGAAGTTTTAGGGTCTTGTTACACCAGTAAACGCTTGGAAGACAAGTTTAATGGATTTAATCAACCCATTTAATTTAATTGGGTGATTCAGTTCCTGACTGGAACAAAACAAACTCCTGGACCAGCCTTGAAATGTAATATTTTAATTATTTTATTAGTAAAAATGAATTTAAAGATCATCAGACCTAACCCTTAAACCAGTCTATGATTAACCCTTCCATAGAAGGTCCAATGCAAGTTGACCAGTCACATTGTATATTTTATGTTGCGAAATTCATTATATAAATTCTATATACAATTATCAAATCCACTCCAAGGATTGGTAACATAGAATAATGGATAATTCTGCAGAAGCAAAATTCCACCATAATCTCAGTTATACTGAAATTATACTTATTATTGCCTGTATAAGAAAATAATAATAATGTCCACCTTTTATGGTTAATGTCCAGGTTAGGTATGACTTAGTACAGTATAATTATTAATTAGTAAAATATTTAAAGTTTTAAATGGTTCAAACTGTGTACTTTTAGTTAAAAGCTTTAACTGAAAGATCGACATGGTCTTTTGTTTTCTTTTCTGTGTGACTTAATCCCAACGAGCTGTTTTTGTGATTCTTAAATGTGCCCCTTGATTCCAAATCCAGGCCTTGTTTTCAGTTTTCCCATGCAGTTAGTTTAATAATTCCTGATTCTGATTGGCCAGAGGCTTTACACCTGGTTCCCAGGTAAAGGAAGGCTGGAAAATCAGCAGGATTCGGACCTTGAGGACTGTGATTTGAATTAGCCCTGGCTTATACTTTTCCAAGGATGTAACATTCCTTATAACCTTTGCGTCCAGCGCTCCATGAAGATTACTTGCAACCAACCAACTTTAACATGGTGTTTTTCTTTAAATAAAGATTGCAGTTATGATACCAACAAATATGAGTAAACCTCTGTCAATAATAAACCTTTGCAAAGTAAAAATGAACCCTTAACACAGGTTTTATACATGACAGTCAAAACTTTTTGTGTCTCCTGATTTTATTGTGACATTTACCTTGCAGCCTACAGGGAGAAAATTAAGGAGATGTCCATGCTGTCTCTGATCTGCTCCTGTTTGTACTCCCAGCCACATCGTAACAGCATTTACCAATATGGAGGTCTGTACATGTGCACGTGACTTACACCATTGTGAATTATCTGTGGCTGTCTGGTCCAGACATGCTCACACACACCAAATATACAGTAAAGCTGAAACTGGAAATATAGTAACTCCTACACATTTGCGGACTTGACATTCACGATTTCGGTTATTCGTGATTGACCCGTGAACAGTTAAACGGGGATATTGCTGGAGCTGGCTGAAAGATCACAGAAACTCGAACACGGCGCGTAATACTGAAAATGATCTGGGTGGCATAAATCATATAAATACATACATATTAGTAACACATATTATTTGATAGTGTAAATGCATACTATATATTTAATATTAAAGGTCTTGGCTCCATCCTTTCTCAGAATAAGCTCCAGGCTCATAATGAGCTTGTCCTGGAAGAACGATGGATAGATTAATGCCAGCCCTGTTTAGATGTAACATGTAACTCATTGTCTCCATCAACAGACATGGAGGTGAAGCCCATTAACAAGTGTGCTTCGGGCCAGTCCTTTGAGGTCATACTGAAGGCCCCAAACGACCTGTCCCCAGACCGCCCTCAGCCACTAGCTTCTCCTCCAAAGAAGGACGTCTCCCTCCATGAGCTGCAGAAGAGGCTGGAGGCCGCAGAGGAGAGGAGAAAGGTGGTAACATTCACATTCTGCATATCAAGGCTATGGTGGCATTGTGAAGTAACGATATAGTACTCTCATGAACATGTCCCAAGCAATAGTGTGTGAGAATGACCTATGGATGGAGTATTGTCTTCTCTTTCAAATTTGGGACATTCAAGTTCTGCTTTGTGGAGAGATGAGGGAATACTGAGGCCAGAGATGATGGCTCGTAAGATATTTGATGATGTACGTCAAGCAACAGCAGTTTAATATTGACAAAATGTACCCATTTAACCCGGTTTACACTCCACCTTTCTGCTGAAGCCGATGAGACACTCTTTCAGCTGATGGCTGCCTGTAATTGGCATGATCACCCAGCTGTCAGGCCAGAAATGACTGTAAGGTCTATAGTTGTATGATGTCTAGGAATATTATTGTTTCCATGGTGACAGGTATACACATATTCCTAATACATTTCTGTCCACAGTGGGTGTCCGTCCTTCTGCCTTGTAACGTGTTAGTTATGGAAATTGAATGGATGGGTTTTGTCTGTGCTTTCTATATGTACACCAAAGAATGCAAGTATAACTGAGTTTTTTTGATAATATTATAAATTCTCATAAACCAAGGCATGTGAATGCACAAATACTAATAAATGTAAATACTTGTTTTTGCAATTTATGTACATAGTACCATAAAGAAGGCTGAATTACATATGGCATATGGGTACAAGTGTTAACTACTGTTGCCATAATTCCATTATAAGCACACGCTGCATGCCCAGTGATTTGGAAACGAGAAAATGACACACAGGGAACCATCTGTTCCCGCATGACCTCTGCTGGCGCTCGCACGTGTAACAGGCTGCGTTTTCAGTCATGCCGTTAGGACGTCAGCGGCGGGTGCTGACTTTTCTACGCTCCGTGTCCTGCGTCACGCAGTCCCACGAGGTCCACGTGCTGAAGCAGCTGGCAGAGAGGCGCGAGCACGAGAGGGTGGTGCTCCACAAAGCCCTGGAGGACAACTACAACTTCAGCAAGATGGCCGAGGAGAAGCTGAGCTACAAGATGGAGGTTAATAAGGAGAACAGAGAGGCCCTCTTCAACGCCTTGAAGCAGAAACTCTGGGAAAAGGCAAGAAATGGCTCTTATCTTCAGATATTTCACTTGGGAAATGCTGTTAACATTTTTGACATTTTGGGGCTGTTATGAATGTCATTAACAAAGGCAGTATATGGATCTGTGAATTAGCAATCTGTGCCCATATCCAGCAGGTCGTAGGTTCAAATCATTTGGCCAACATCATAATTATATCACAAATGGGCCCTTAACGCCAACTGATCCTTGGATGTTGGATGTTGCTTGGCCTAAAAATGTCTGATTATTAGATTAAGATATAAATGGAATAACAAGTCTATCGATGGGCTTGTAAACATGTAATGTTAAAAATCTGGTTCTCTGTCAGGTGATACTTGTGCTACATATCGCTCCCTGCCTGCTTCCTACTTAAGTGGTAAACACAAGAGAAGAGGTTCATAGTAACACTGTTCACATAATAGTGAAATTCACAGTCATGGGAGCCATTGGTACCAAAGTTCATTCCACATGATACTGTTCATTTATTAGGCTCCCTTAATAGCAGGGCGCAAACACCAGCACAGTGGAGGAAGTAGAGGACCCTGTAATTTGTAGTGACTAATTAGCCAGCAATGAGATGTACATAAGATTAATGGTTATGCTTAGTAATATAACACTGTAATTAAAATTTCATGCAAGATCACAAGCATCAAACCAAAACATCTGCTTATCAATTAATGTGATTTCTTGCATTTCCTTTAGACATTAATTTAACACACAATATAAAGAGGCATGTGAGCTGTCCTTTAATGAAATGCGATCACAATAGAATTTATTTGCTACCATATCAAGAAATTTTATAAATTGAGTGATACATTGTGGTCATAATACTCATTAACTGATTTTTATTTCTATTGTTGCTTTTACCTGAAGAGGTTACAGAGGAATCAAATGCTAAGTCGTCCACAGTAACCTTGAAATTGTTCATATGGTGCTGAATAACCAGGTATTATTGTAATATCGATCGTGTGTTATTGATTTAAATGTGTGCAGCAAAATGTTATGAAAGGATGGTTCAGACAACTACAAGTCCTAAGTCTCCAATTTGCATTACTTTCTCTCTGTCCAGGAAAAGCATGGAGCTGACGTTCGCCGGAACAAGGAGCTCCAAGCAGAACTGTCCGGCTGAGGATTCCCTCCAAACGGTTACCGAGAAAGATTGTTCCGGCTGTCCCAAACAATTCTGCTGTCCGAATTCTTTTTTATTCAAGGTTCATCACCAATCTCCGCATGTTAATTTCACAGTCAGGCAAAAGACTCAAGTTCTCAAGAGGTCTACAGTAATATACTTAATATACATTAATATATTAATATACTTATTTGATTCTAGTTTTTTTTTCTTATCAAATTGTTCATAGTGTTTTAAGCCAATAACTGTCCATATACGCTCCTCCACATTACTTCAACATAAATCAAATTCAGTCTCTGACTCTTTACAAGAATAAGTTCGGTGAGGGGGTGAGTAGTTCGAGATAAAAAAAGAACTGTAGAAATTATCCAGTACTTCATAAATCAATATAATGTATCACAGTACACACCAAACCTATTAAGTTTCATTTTATTTTTGCAAAACAAAAAAGAGTTATTATAGTGACGTAATCGGAGCGCAAGTGCAACTACAATTAAATCTAATCTAAGGCTTCCGTGTCACCCGTCAGTTTTATCTGAATATATCTGAACTTCATTGCTGTCTATTATATCTAAGACACATATTGAAGATGGTCGCTTGAAATCTAAAGCTTGTTCCTTCATCTCCTTGTAATTGCTTTGTTCAGTGCCAAAATTACAGTTTAAAAGCTGGTAATTAACACAGGTAATTGTTGCATATCATTTATGCTTTAGACGTGCGATCTGTATAAATGCCACTTAGCACACATTACACCGTACTGCAGGGGGAAAAAATGTATTTTTTAAGCTTAATCTGTTGACAAAAATATTCTTTTGCTGGCTTTAGTGTGTATAGGTTTTTAAGTGTACATAAAATACTGTGTCTGGTAACCTTTTTTGAAAGTAACAATATCCCAAACTAATATACACACTAGATAACAAATCTGCAAAGTATCCATAGAAATGAATGCTTGTAATGTTATGAAATCATACTCTTAATGCAGTACAGTTCTTTCCTGTGGCACCAGTCATTTTCTTGGGTTACCAGCTCACGATAATATACATAAAATATAAATTATTACTTGATCAAACAACTTCTTCAAAATCATTGCAATTTGATATTAAAATAACATGCTTTGTTTAACTAATGAATAATATCATTCTGCTAGGATGTTTTACTGTGTGATGTTATTCATATAAGTTTTGGTTTTTAATGTGTAAATGCTATTCAGTTTGTATATATACATGATGACAAGGTAGCATTCTCGCTAGCAACTGAAGCTGAATGGATCATTCACTAAAATACAAATATTCTTGTAGAGCACAAATCTATAATTTATGTTCAGTGATACCAAGAATGGAAACTATACCAACTGAGAGCTGAATTAAAGCGGCGACAAACCTTCTCAGATGTTTATCAGCTACCATTTTGTATTCAAACACAAAGACATTATACATTTCCTACCATGCAAGTTTGTAAGGGCTGGATGTGTTACCATTCAGACATAGCTTAACATTTCCCTTTGCTAGATGCTAGAACTCTCTGCACTCAGTGTATTGACCAATATACTGGATAGTATTTTTTTATTTCAATAACTTGAATAAATGAGGCTATAAACAGAATTGAAGAAAATCAACAGGCATTTAAAATTCCAAGCACCCCTCTATATTTTGTTTATGTCTGTATTGTCACCCCTAACTGAAGAACACAGCTTGAATGTAGTGGCAAAGTTGATTTGTACTTTTGCCTTTTGGGGGCGCTCACCAGACTGTTTATCTAGTGAACTTCCTCTAAGTACTGCATGTACTATGCTGACACGCTATTTTCAGACCATGGCTGCATATATCAAAATACATGTGTGTGGGGAACAAAAGATAAACAAAGGCACACCTACCATTACTCACATCAGAGGTGGCCAACAGAGAACTTGGTGGACCAGGTTTTATGAGAGATGAACCCATAAAACTCACCATCCAAATAATGACTCTAGTCAAAGCAAATTAAGACCATTGAGTGAGACTGGGCACCTCTCACTTATATTTTAAGATATTTCACCTGTGGCACAGTATTTGTTAAGATTAGTAGACGATCAACGAAGGGAATAAAGCACCACGTAATAACCTTGTTTCACTTCCTTATCTAACTGCTATTCATCTGGTATTTGTAATTTATTACTGGAATGATCATGAAGATGCAGGGAAAACACCTAATTACCACATAATTACCCCGTTTCACTTCCTTACCTAACTGGCATTTATGTATCCGTGCTATATTAGCAAAATGTGATTATGAACTTGCAGGGAAAGCACCTAAAATGATTCAAACCTTATACACCTGAATATGGGTTCATTGAGTTGACTTTACTGATTTGACAACAACAGGCAGTTAGGAAGGTAGATGACAGCTAATTGTTACGCCTGTTCTGTTCTTTGCTTAATACGTGCAAATACTTCCCAGGTGAAAACTGGCAACCCAGTTCTATGCAAATGACATGACATGCACTGCTCTTTCTTTGCCACACCCAGGTAAGATGTAAAGGAATTTGGCTAAACAGTACTTTAAAAAGACTTATATTGCAGAGATTGTTAAAAACTATTGACAAATAACAGTTTCTTAAACAATGTAGTTAAAAAGCATGGATTGGGCTAGTCATGTGTAGCTATAATATAAAAGGCTGTAAAACAACACAGAAGGTCACTGGATCAAATCATCATAATAGAAACCTTAACACGAGCCCTTAACCCCAGTTGCTCCAGGGGTGCTGGCTGATTCAGTGCGTATGCAATCTTGCAATCTGAAAAGCAGGAAAGAGATCCTCACAAGTTTCAGGGGTATTTTATCTGTGACGATGTTTTCCAGTCCAGGAAGTTATTTTGATTTATTTATATCTTGATCATACTTCCGGAAATGTTGCATCAGATGCTTCTGCATGCAATGTTCTCAGATCAAGATATCTGTTGCAGCAGGTGGCATTGTTGCTTTGCTTACATGAAAATTGCATCATTCTGTTGAGGCAAAACCCCTAGGATTTTAAGTGTTGCTAAAACTAAAGAACCTAAAGCCTAAAGAACCCAACTTCCTTTATCACATTATGTCAATAAGTAATTAACAAATGTATAGCAATTCAAATGTTACAAAATCCTGAATAAACATTTAAAATGACATAAAACTGAAGTAAAAAAAATGTTTATTGTGTTTGACAAATTATATTAAATATCTTATTCAGTGCAATTAAATTATCCTTAATTTTGTGATTCGCACAAGTATGAGTTCATATACGTCAGAATGCTTCTCATGTCTCATCTTACTGTCCATGAGACACACAGACACTTATGCAGATGAGAGCAAGATTGAGGATCACAATGCAGTGTGAACCAGCTTGCAGCACCCGTGGAGCTGGGGGGTTAGGGCCTTGCTCAGAGCTAACAGACATGTAACTATTCTGCTGAGGCTCAATACTAACAATGCTATACAAAGATCAACTATTAATTAAATGAGAATCAACCTCAACATTCAGCAAATCAAACTTGACTTTTCATGCTTTTTGTAAACTTTGTAGCTACCTTATTATGAACACTTAGCAAATACAGGTAGGACTCATTATTTGCCTCTCAAACCACTTTAAAGGCAGATAAGTTGTTTGTTCAGAGAAATCATGTTATACTGACCTGCTATTTTTACATTTGTACTATTGCTGTTAGCTTTAGCAAGTCTGGCTATTCTCTTCTGGCCTCCTGCAGTGGATGTTTTTGCTAATGACATCATTCTCTTTATACTTTAGACACTGTGGTGCATGAAACGATCCCAGTGTGGTGGCTGCGACAATCATTTAGTCATTTGGACTAAACCTATATACTTGAAACCTATCCGTCTAATGCTTAGTAGAACAGTAAGTGAATCTCTTGACCCTGTCCACTTGCCGTACGTGTTACAGTTTTTCTCAGTCGCTCTGGTACATTTCTCGAATCATCTTTAACATTTGCAAAACAGTAAGTGCATTTCTTGAAACAATTCATACAAACTGCACCACATGACAGATCACCTGCAAAAGCCTGTGACTTTCTCAAAATCCTTTGTTTATCCCTCAAAGGTAAATATTTGTCTATGAACTTGTCAGTGGCACCAGAATGACATGCCCTTGTGTCATTGTTCACGAACAAGATGGTCAAAATGTTTAGTCGTGTTGTCAATATAACAGTGCACTCTGTATTTTCCGAAGTAAACTACGGCTAAGGTTTTGATGACGACTGAAAATGCACAAGGTTGAACTTTTTCTGTATGCTGTATATGAATTTCAACAGTACATCACATATACTGTAACACACATATGTAAACATTTACAGTGTGTGTGTGTGTATATATATATATATATATATACACACTCACACACACACAAACACTGGTAGCAAACACATATATATGTTCCTACCTCTTCCTCTATTTTACCTCCCTCCCCTTCCACTAAGCAGCCTTACTCCTCTTTTTACAAGCTGTTTACCCTGTTTGTTTCCTCATCGTTCTTCCATTGCCAAATTGTAACACTGTGTTGTGCTATGTCAATATATGCTTGTCAACTGAAGGTTCATTTGATGCACCTGTGAGCTATTTTAAAGAACTGGTTGATCTAACGCTTTAAACATTCCAATTCATTGGTGAAAGTCAAGATTCAACTTAGAGCAATTCATCAATTCAGGACACATTAATAAAACAAATTATAAGAGATGTACAGAGAATATGCTTGAATTATGACAACTGGTTCAAACCATTATGCAAGTAATGACTTATACAATTAACTAATGCCTAGATGTTTTGGGGAGCAAGACTATTCAAGAGTATCAGTATTATACATTCTGACCGATGTGATCTAAAAAACTGATAATGTAGAACACAACACATGAAAGGAAATAATCATATGCATGACTGTGCCAGAGCATTTGCAATATGACCAAATAAATGAGACTTTGCCTTTATGATGTGCACAACTGACACAATCATGTGGAGGCTGTATAAGTATAGTTATGAGAATTTTATTCCTGATTTGATTAATGTACCAAAGCGACTATAGGAAAAACTATAAATTGCATTCACATAATACGCTTTTCGGAGATACAGAAGGTCTACATTGGTAAGCAAGTATACCTAATATACACTCTTTACCGTGTGAATGTTTCATAGTAAATTTCAAGAGAATGTGGAGCTGCAAATACGGCACAGTAGGGAACAGGCAACACGTAAGTAGCCAATTTGTTTAAGGCTCGTTAACAATACATAAAACGGAGCTCATTTTTCTTAACTTAAAAGCAGTAAGAAATCAACGTAAAAACGTGCCATCTGTTGTTTATTTTATTTTGAAAAAATACCAGTCTTGCGTATACCTAATTTTCAGTAACATTCCTTGTAATGCACTGTAGTTACCGGAACGTCCATCACACTGAAAGCTAAATGTTACCTTTTATTTCAGACGCAACCTCTTTGTTAGGGAACCACATTGCTATGTCTATGCCGAAATACACTTCTGTCACTAGTATATCTATCTTCAAAGAACTCAAATATCTCCCAAAACACTACCCGCTCGACACACAGAACTCCATGCCGGCCGCGGCCGGGGTAACGCGAGACACGTTAGCTCCGCCCCGCGCGCTCGTCTGTTTTTATAATGCGTCATCACTTCGGTTTATGGCCTGCGCACCGCCAAGTTATTCACCCACCCTCAGTCTTCCGTTTAAAGTTAGAAAGTCTCCCGATTCCATTCGCAGACAAAAGAAGGTAAGAGGGAAAAAGCCGGTTATTCCGCGCGTTGGGAGCTTGACAGAGAGAAAGAGGGAGGGGTGGGGGCTGGTTTCGGCGGCGGCCCAACGTGAGGACGCACGGCCCGAAGCCGCCGTACGGATGATGCGGCCCGCCGTGCCGTCGTCGCGCCGCCGCCGATTGCCACGCGTCGACGTGGCAGCCCGTGCGCTAGCTGGCGTCAAACCGTGCGCATTGTGGGTGGCGACAAAAAGAACGACTCCGGTTGCCAGGGCGGAACGTTGTTGCTGCCCCAGCCGGGATGAGCGGCGTGCTAAACGTGCGCAGTGAACGTAGTATGGGCTGCTGGGGGGTGGGGGCGCGTACGTGCAGATACGTTCAAACGCTCACGAGACCGACTGAGCTAAAGTAGCCTACCCATTCTCACGCCCGCATGCGTGTACCAGGAAGTGTTTCGTGCCTGTTGCGCGCGGCTGCCGTGAGTCGCCACATGTGGGTGCGGAAAGCAGCTGGTGCTTGTGACGGTCTACAGTGTGGCGAGCCAACCATTACGCAAACCTTCACCGAACATACACACAAGCAGAGACAGCGAGAGCTATCCTGCTATCACTCACTGACATCAGCTTCTATGGAAGGAACGCCCTTTATTCTAAATATACGCGTGTCTGAATGTCCGTCTGCGTGGCCGTGCCGGTGTAGTCATAAAGTCATTGGCTACCATAAATGATGGCTGAAACGGAGAGAGCTCGAAACTAAGTTCACTTTCAGTCGTTTATTTTCTTCTGTATTTCTGAAGATCATGTATTAATGAGAAATCAATGATAAACTTTCTTGCTTTCCACAGGCATCCTTTACAGTTTCCATGACACTGTCTGTATGGGCTCCTGGTTACTGGCTTTGAGCTGGTTCTGGGTGACAACAAAATATGTTTGTGGTTACATTACTTAATTACCATGGGCTGAATGTAGAAACTCCATTAAGTAAACAAAGAAGAAACTTTGCACTCCTGTTGTAGATACTAGTGAGTCATGCTTACACATAACATTTACCATGAAGGTGGCTTGTACCACAAAGCCATATTTGTTCATTAGATAGGTATCTTGTCAAATTTACTTTAGAATGGGCTAAATGAAAAGATTATTTATGATTCCTTTATAATAAAACCAGCAGGCATACAACATACAGATAAGTAGTGCATGAATTACAGAAAAACCAAGGTCAACATCATTACTATAGTAAGACCCTTATTAGTACTGTATATGATATTCTGTTATGTTCTCCTGAAGTGTTGTTGTTTTTTTTAAATTATGAAATATTTAAAGCAGGTATTGGATTCATTTTGATTGTTTCTTACAGTGGGTATTGTAGGAAAATTGTCAGTGAAAAGTATGAATTATAAGCATAATTATGAAGTCATTTAAACCTTTGTTAACATTACTATCACTGATTATCATCATTACTGAAAATGCACTTCCTGTAGACGGCTAATAGTCATTGCACCTAAAAAGTCAAAACACAGCGTATTTGTAACTCTAACATTTCAATTTATCCATCTACCCACTTTCCACCTTCTTGTCCTGGTCAAAATTTTCACATCTTAAATATGAGAGCATCTTCTCCTTCTACCCCCCCCCGGTAATATAATGCTGCAGCGTTGGCAGTCAGGCCAACCACCCCTATGGCATCCTCAGAAGTCAGCATGCACGTAGAGGAAGTCGTCGTCGTGACAACACCAGACACAACTGTGGATGGAGCAGTTGTGGAGGAGGTGAAGACAATGCTTGTCACAACAGATCTTTCCCACCCAGGGTGAGTATGCAAAACCATTTTCATAGCCAAAATAAGCATGAAAAATGGATGTTTGAAGATTTCAGAGGATTTTCCCATCATTCATAATATGCAGACTTGTCGAGGCAGATGTTTTGGATCTTAGAGTTTAATAACATTCCTAAATAATTATTACATTTCTTTCCTAAGTTCATTGTTAACGTTCAGAAATTCCTCTTTGTCATGGTTGTATTGTTTGAAGTGTGTAACATTTTACTTGCACAGTATACGTCAGTCTAAAGTCTTAACAGCCTATCTGTTCTATGAGATGATGCTGCTGTACAATTTCCGATGCTTGTTTATAGGCTTTTTATAAACAACACAGTTTTACATATTGTACAAATGCAGACACCATAGCCTCATTCTTATGGAAAATTGGCTGAGAGCTGAGCCTCCCAAATCTGTAATGGTACTAGATGGCTTTCATATGTGCAAGTTGAAACTGGTAAGAAGAAAGGAGGGGAACTTGCTATCTATGTCACATGGTGTAATCCAAGATGCACTACTTAAAAGTTTCAGGTATGTGGTTAAGGCATCGACATGGGAGTTTTCATACACTGGCGTTCTTGTTATGTATGCGCGCCCCTCTGCCAGGGTCATGACTGCAGTGGAGAAAACATTCTATCATCAGCTGCTGAAGCACCCCAAACATCTTCATAAAAATCGCTGGGAATTTAATCATATCTCTGTAATGTCCACTCTGACCAACTTCTTCCAGTCTGTTAACTGCTCAGCAATAGAGTATAAGAGAGTGGACTTAGGTGACTCAGATATCAGGAATGCTTGCAGATCTGTTTTCTTGCCATCCCTGGGCAGATATGACCATAACTTGGATCAGTGATTCACCATTACCTAGCAGCCTCTTTTCACAACAGAAACTGTGAGTGAGAGAGCAAAAGAAGGTGAGGAAATCTCCAGAGAAGGCTTAGAGGACATGGACTGAGTTGGATACGTTTTGTGAGATGTATTCGCAAGGACATTTGCAATCATATCAGTTGTGCTGGTTCTCCAATAAAACATGCCAGATAATGAAAAATCTGAAGGGCCTTTCAAATGGAAAAAAAGACATATAGGTTTTAGCAAAGTGAGGAGATTCAGGATAGCTTAAAAAGAAGGTCAGCAAAGAGAGAAATCGACCCAGGGATAAGCTGGACCATAAGCTTCAGCAGAACATTGCATAGAAAATGTGGAATAGAATGAAGAAACTTACTGGCTTGCAGACCAGTGATCAGGTGGTGGAGGGGAACTCTGATAATGCTGATGAGTTCTTCAACAGATTATACATCTATGTGCCTTTCCAGGCCACACCCAGGTTCAGGCTTCAGTTCCCCCACCTGCCTTATCCCCCTCCTGCTCCTGCACCCTTTCCTCACAGCCCTACCCCGTCTCTTTCTCTCCTGCTATCTCTCCTACTCTCCGCTATATAGACATCGGCTAACCAACCAAACAATGACTGCATATGGAAATTGTTGCACATAGTCATGTAATTATGATCTTTCTGTGTATAGATGCTAATGCAGATTTCCCAGGCTTTTTCTTCTGTAGGTTGTCAGCGTTGTGGTCAAGCTAACATTGCTTTTAATTTACTGCTCAGAGACGAGGTGACGGAGGATAGCATGGAAGCTGAGACTGAAGCCGCTGCCTTTACGGCAACGCCCATTCTGGAGAAGGAAGCAGTAATAGGTAATATTAGCCAGGGCTGGGTTCATTGTGCCCATGCGAGGTGATGACATCAGAAAAAGACTCTAGGGGTCACCAACCTTTTTGAAACTGAGAGCTACTTTACGGATACTGAGCCATACAAAGGGCTACCAGTTTGAAACACGCTCCTAAACTTATCTAAACTTCATATATAATAAACATGTTTTAAATGTTTCGTTTTTTTTTTTTTTTGTTTTTTTTTAGATATTGTCATTTTCAAATCTATATAAATGCAAATGTGATTAAAGAAGAATAGCAACAGGATAAAATTAAATTTTAGACACTGCTCACTGGAGAGTTGGGCTATTTTTAGAACACGTCTGCGGGCGACTCGTGGTCCTAGGGGGCATCTTGTTGCCCGCGGGCACCATGTTGGTGACCCCTGCCCTACACTAAACTGATCATGAGGAACTGATTATGATCGAATGTCTCCTATTACAATGCCGAGCCTTTCATGGTGTAAGTATGGAGATTTTGTCGCTAATAAGGGATGACATAGTGGCTCTGTGAGTTGACTCACACCTCCATGCTGGGGGGGGGGGTTCGAATCCCAGCTTTGTACGTGAAGCTTGCATGTCCTCCCCGTGTCATCCTGCTTTTCTCCGGCTGCTTCAGGTTGCAGTTCAAAGACTTGCAGTTAGGCTAACTGGCATCACTAAATTGCCCACAGTGTATGTTTATGTGTGTGTGGATAAGAGGTTAGAAGATGGATGGATTGTCACTTAAAGCGAAGAGTGGGGGGGGGAGACTGGTTCAAGGATGTGTTTAATTAAATTGTAGCACAACCCACCCCTGCAGATTCTGTTGGATCCACTTGTGGATGAAAACAGAAACTAAGGAATATGTTAGTTAGCCCAGCGAGTGTAGACACTGATGTAATTCTGTTGCTGTAAGCTAGAGGTATCTGAGCTACAAACTGCTCTCTTTACACTAGTGTATCTTTGCTGGCTTTCCTTAGAAGAGTTTCTGTTAGCATCGGTACCAGGACATGCAGCTTATGACATGTAACCCAATTTGTGCACTTGGATGAAAGCCACCTTTGTTCCGCTATTCCTTCTCACCCTTGAACATAGTAAGATAAGGAGCACCAATTAGTCTCGCACAGTTCAGTATTTTCCTGAATAAAGGCTAAGTCACTGAGGAGTTAAGAAGCCTTTTTTCTGGATTTCTTTGTAAGGTGCAGTAACACGCCTCATTACTTGTAGTACAGGGTTGGCAGTTCTCTGTTTGGGATCTTTCATAACTGCTTATCCACTCCTGAATCAGACGATTACACTGATATTTATTAAATGTAGCACTTACAACTTGACTTTAATAGATGGATGTAGAATGACTATATCAAGATGACTGTGATGTATCATATTAACTCTGTGGGATGCAGAGAGATTAACAGTAACATATATTGCGTAACCAGGAACTTTAAAGAAGTTTCTTATTGAAACTTCTATGAATATATTATCCTGAAGTGACTGCAGATGTAGCTGTAATGCAAAAAGAAATATTCCACCCAATCATTCACCCATGTTCCAACCACTTTTATTTGTTTGGCACTCAAACTCTTGGCATGTGTATAAACACAATATAGTTTATTGTTGGTGGCATATTTCAGGTGGCCAACTGGAATATGGGTTTGAGATTGAGGAAGTGGGTATATTTTAAGGTTTTAACTTACCATTCTCTGGGGAGCAGGAGGAGCAGTAGCCCAGGTGGCTACTGGGTATTGTAGTTTGGGGGGTCTGCTCAGTAGTAATGGGATTTCCCATATTACATTTTGACAGAGGGGGGGGGGGAGTTTGATTTGTATTAAGGTTTTTATTATTAAGTTAACTATTCATTGTGAATTTTATTATGATTGACATTTATACAATGGTATTGGTCAGTTTTAGAATATATTTATAGGGGCATAGTTGATGTTTTGAAAAGTTGTGTAGTATCTTTATCGTTGATGTGCCTATTGGTAATCACATGGTTTGATTCAGCAGGAAATAAGTACGCTACACCAGGTTACTAAAGACAGAGACAGGTAGGGTAGGGTGCTGGTTCAGTCCTGATGAAGGACTTAATCCCAGTAATTGAGTGCGGGAGGGTTTTGTGATAGTTTAGTTACTTTGGTTAGGCTGTACTTATTTGGGATATTGGTTTTGTGGACTTTTTTTTCTTTTTCTTTAATTACATTTGGTTGTTTGGGGCCCTTCGGCACTTGGAAGAGGGATTAAAGGGACGATGAAGTTTGTGCGTCCGGTCCTGTCTTGTGAGGCCACAAGTTTGTTCATTGGCCCATGGGCCGGTAACCAACAAGCTGGTATAGGTGAGGTAAATACACGCCTTGCAAAGGTAGAAGCTGCATCACTGGAGAAGATGAGCATCGTTATGGGCCCATCGGTACTCGCAAAATAATACCTTTGCACACAAGCATGTAACCCAAATGTGTAGTAAGCAAGCGATAAGCAGGTTAATGCAGTCCAAGCCATGCCTTCTATGTTTTTAAATGCATTCCGCAGTATGTAGGGTGGTTCTTTCCCTCTGCAGCTATGCATTTAAAAAAATGCGGCCTGGCATGCATTATCCCATATATACTGATTACATTTTATTCATCTATTGGGTACATGAAGCGTGAATGTAATGGGCGTTAATAGAAATGTACATTTCCAGCTTATCTGAGACTTGGGTCAATTATCTAGAATAATTACATAAGTAATATTATTGTTTCTTTTGATTTTTGTCAGTGTTCCTAAGTCTAACTTTGATCTCAATCGCTTTTTATAAAAATAGAAAAAAAGTTACCACAGAAAATGAACAATCGTTTGGTGAACTAATTAAACAGTAGATCTATGGACCACATTTTTGAAAATGTGTCATTTCGAAGATATATCGCTGGCTAACAGAAGTAATAAGCAACCTGACATATTTGTGTTCAAGTCTTTGAAATATGACGTGTTCCTGCTGATTAATTTCAGTAAACCTTTAAGCTTCAGCTGGTTCTAAGTTACCCTTGTTTTTTGTGTTTCTTAAATAACACCTGAATAAATAAACTCCGAAGAAAATGCCTTTGAAGGGGGGAATTATTATATCTATACTGCTTATCCATCTTGAGGTAATTTTAAGAGCGGTGGTTAAAAAAGAAAGAAATCAATAAATAAGAAATGTTTGGCATCAGCTTATTTGTTCTACTTGTTGAAACATGCAAATATGTGTAACTATACATTATGTACACAGAAACTAGATGTGCATTCCATTTTTTTAAGAGCCACTAATGTCACGAGACCTATTATGCGTATAACCGTATATAGGTGTGTATGCATATTAATAGGCATACCTAAATCATACAATGAAAGGAATGTAAGATGGGACAGGACTTTTGGAGATGAAGTCTCACATTCACATTTAGTCCTTGTTATGTAAGTAGTTTTAATATTTTCTTTTTCTACTGAACTCTCTGTAAATCTGCGCAAACCACAATTATTGCCATATGTCCTGATTCTGAGTCCCCCCCCATTCAATTAAGTGTTTATTGTTATTTTTTTATAATGTCTTTCTTTTTTCCTTCTCTGTCACCTGGTGGTTGGTTGATCCCATTGCCATAACCCTAGAATGGAAATGCGCATCCTCAGTAGGACACCCATTCGCTCTGCCGTCCCTTCGTTGCATGGTTCAGTCTATCATCCTTCAATATCACTGGCTATTTGCCAGTCAAACTCTAAATGCAGTGAATCGAAACTAAGCTGAAAATAAACACTGCCAGAGGTTTCTTGATAACAACAAAGACAGAGAAAGCCTTCATTCCGTATCCTTTCTGTCCTGCTTCCTAAACTATTCTTTATGTAGATGGGGTCCAAAGTCATGATTTGATTCTGTATTAGGATTTTGAGTGTACTTTGATACTGAATAGTTATTTATTACAATTGTAAGCGATACTTTTCATGGAGAATTGTTACAAGAAAAAGTGGTTAAGGCATACACATCATAGGAAATTGTATTGCCTTAATCCATTTCAGTATGGTTTTGGGGGGTTATTGTAGCAGTATATTCAATAAACTGGGATTTATATTCTTTCTAAGTATTCTGTAACTTTAGTTTTCTTTAGTAAAAACAGTGCACAATGAGCTTCTTTGGGCCTAATTCTTACGTAAAGGCTTGTCTGCTTGCCTATTGGGCTCGGCATTTGATTAGTATGCCTGTGTTTTTCGCTCTTTTTTACCTTTATCCTTATGTGCAGAGCAAAGTTAACATCGAACTTCTTTGGCATTTTTCAGCAATGAAGCTTTCCGAGGAAGCAGAGAATATGGAGCCTGAGATAATCTACCCCATTACATGTGGGGACAGTAAGGGTGTACTCATTTGGAAGAAGTTTGTTTGTCCCGGTATCAACATCAAATGTGTCCAAGTGAGTTTGACAGATGACCTGTAGAACAAAATGACGCTTTTTATTACTCTGGTATGAGCGTATGTGTTTGTGTTCATTTCTTCACGTTCACTCTTATCATTTCTTCAGTACAATGAACATCTCATTAGCCCAAAAGAGTTTGTCCATCTGTCTGGGAAGTCCACGCTGAAGGACTGGAAGCGAGCGATCCGCTTGAACGGAATCATGTTAAGGTGTGTCTTTCTGCCTTTCTGTTCCTGTGAGTTTCTTTTTATTACAGGCATGGAGATAGGTCATTCTTATCTGAATATATTTTGACTTTTACTGCAGTCATACAACAGTCAGATGCTGGGAGACCTTTGCTCTCCTGTTTATTATTATTATTATTATTATTATTTTAATTACGCTATATTGCTGTTTTAAGAGAATTAATTTAAAACACCTACACTTTCCATTCCCTGATCTGTGACTATTGCATCAGATTTGGGAGTGTGATGCATAATCTGGTATTTTCACGAAACAGGAAATGTGCTGTTACTTGAGAACACTATTACTCCCCAGAAAACGCATGAATACAAATAAATGTTTGGTCAGCTTTCACAGATGTCTCTAAGCGTGTCCTTCCAGCCATTGTGCTGCGTGTTTAGCAGTTTTCAAGCACTTTTGGGGTTATTCTTTTTAAGGGTCAGTGATGAAATCTTACATGTACATTTTAAATTTGTATTTGTTTTGCTCTCGTAGGAAAATAATGGATTCAGGGGAGCTCGACTTTTATCAGCACTCCAAGGTATGCTCCAATACGTGTCGTAGCACCAAGATCGACCTGGTGGGGAGCAGGGTGTCGTTTAGCACTCAGCAATCAACAGAATTTGTACCGGTCACCCCCTCATCAGCTGACGGTAATCCTTTATCTGTAATCATTAATGTTTCCTTTGCGAAGTAGGTGGAGTCTGTGGATGTTGTAGTTGTGTGTCTGGTACAGAGAACTGTGCCCTGATTATTCTAATTATTTTATTATTAATTATTTACTATTATTTTAATTGTAACCCTGTCAATCAGCCACCCTCACCTTCAGGTGTGATGAATCCATGTGAAATACGTATAAATGTCTTTATAGCAAGCCATCTCGGGGAAACAGTGTTCCGATACTGGGTGAGACCGAGGAATCACAAACTGAAATGTACCTGGACGAAAAAAAGTCCTTCCTATGTACAAACAATGATACCTCCTTCTGTATCTTCTGACCAAAAACATTTTTTATTTGCCTATGTGTTGACATCATTGTTTAGCAAAACGATACTAACTAAAGTTTATGGCTTCGTCTCTATGGCCATTTTTGTGGCAAACTTGCTCATCCTGTTTTGTTTTGTCAATAAAGCATTTTTTTCTTTTTAGAGAACATCACTTTTTTATTATGTAATGCTATGTTGGAGGTCTTTGTCTCAGTGCTTCTAGAAAATAATTGCTTTATGTTAATCGGACTTTTCGATAGTGCGCAGTACTTGTGCATATAGTTCACTTCCTCTTCTGAAATGTACTTGAAAGACCAGTTCTTTATGTAGTGTGTAAACGGAGCACAGACAAACATTGTTTGTAGTCGGTGTCCTTTTATTAGCACGTTAGCTTCCTGTGCTCATTTGTTTAAAAAGCTGTTGTCGTTTGCAGTGAATGGGTCACCGACAACGTTCACAATAGAAGCCTCTGAAGACAGCACAGAGTGGGTGACAACGATAGGAGGTGTGTCTCATGTTGAGATTTGCCCAAATACCAAGTTCATGACGCTGTATCTTAGGTTTAGGTTTGTGTTGCCCGTGTTCACCAGGTTTTCTGGGTTGTGCTTGTAGAGGATACCGTTGCTTTTTGGCAAGGACTGAAGGATGCAGGTCTTTTGGAAGAGGTCGTTGAGGAGTTTCAGAAAGAGGTGAAAGAAACATTGAAGGGCCTACAAGACCGAATTCAGCAGCCCCCATTACAGGTCAATGGTCAGTGTCACCTGGTTCTCATTTTAAGAAGATCATTGCATGTGTTGAATGTCAAGTTGGGTGTTTTGTTGTGGAGAAGCCTCACAGCCTTGACTGAGATATAATGTTAAAAGATTTAAGGATACATTAAGAGTACTTGCTCAGAAGTTCGAATTTGCCTCTGTGTTTTTTCTCAACTTTCTGAAATCACTTGCTGTTTTCCTCAGATGCAGTGCTGCTGAATAACATAGTGCAGAATTTTGGCATGCTGGACCTTGTGAAGAAGGTGTTGACGAGTCACAAAAGCCAAATGGATCGGTACCGGGAGCAGTACACACGCAGCTTAGTCGGTGAGCAGAAATCTAGGCCCAGGCTCGACATGCTTGCAGTGCTTACCAGCTGTCTAAGGTTCTTATTCCTCCCTGTCGCTGTTCTTCCACAGCCCTAGAACAGCAGTGCGACGAGCACCGAAAACGCGCAAAAGAACTGAAGAGCAAATCCCAGCATCTGAACAATGTCCTCATGACCCTCTCGCCGGCACCCTCTCCTCCGACTCCCAAACGACCCCGGCTCACGCGGGCTGTCTCCGGGCCAACGCCCGTCTCCACGCATCTCCCCAGTCAGCCTGCGCAGATCACTCTGGCCTCAGGAATCCCGCTGACTCAGCTGGCCAACTTTCCCCTGGACAAAGTAATGACAGCCATTCAAGGCTCCACCATTGGCAGCTCGTCGCAAACAGCCACCTTTACGGCCACAAGCTCACCGCTTCTTGGGGGCTACACAGTCCTGGCCACACCAGCTACCGGCCTTCCCAGCACGGTGGAGATCCAACCTGATGCGTCAAATCTGACCGTCCTCAGTACGGCCGCCATTCAGGATGGAGGTACCATCGTCAAAGTGGTCAGCCCATTCCAGCTGCTGACCCTGCCCGGTTTGGGGACCACGCTGCAAAACGTGACAGGGGCTGGCAGCACTATCGTCGCCGTGCCAACCAGCAGCATCGAGACGGTCGTCACACAAGCCGAGGAGACGGCGATCATCGAAGTTAAGGACATGGACCCGGCCCTGGAAAAGCAGTAGCGAATGGGGTGGACCGGTTGCTTTGGGAAAAGAAAACTGCTTGTCTGCGTTGCTGCAAAAAACCCAACCATTTTCAATATGAACACTAAGTTTTATTGACTGTTCATTGTAGAACGTGTGTGACATGTTCAGGGAACATGAATGGTGGTCACTTTACTCTAAAGAATGTGGTCAATTGCCCTTGAAACTTATTTGGCCAGAGTGAACCTCAATCCTATATAATCTGTACAATACGAATGTGTACAGTGTATTAATGGCCTTTGAGTGACCGAAACCCATTTCTGTTAGATTTGGGTCAGTAACTAAGAGATGCATTAGTTTTCCATCATTTTTAGTCACGCGTGAGTGTAGTTGACGAATACAGGGTACCTTCCAGTATGGAATAACAGAGTAGTACATTATCTGCAGTCGTACTCTGAAATATTTGGCATTTTTATTTTGTACTTTCATCTGGTTATTGTTGATATCCATTGATGGACAACTGTACAGAAGAATGAATGAATGAATCATAAATGTATATTCAACACTATTTTGTTCATTTGACTTTATATACACGCTGTTACAAATTATCCAGAATAGTGATGTGTCTTCCCATAAGCCTGCTGGTCTTAATTCAGACCATTTCAGTAAATATACTGCAGTAATTTTGTTTGTATGTAAATATGTGATATGATTGACACTGTAAATAAAGTACATTCAATGTAAAATTGGTCTGTTAGGTTCACAGTAATTAAAATACTGTATATAGAAAATGTAGTAATAAATTATTTACTTTTTTACCTTGCTATTATAGATTTTTTTATTCAACATATGAATACCTTTTTTTCTTCCTAGTGACGAATGTTTTGTATCACTGATGGTTTTTGTGAATTTTTTTAATTCACACCTTGATAAAAGCCATTTCATATTAAAGATCGATACACTGTATTTGAAAGTGTTGTTCATATGCTTTTGTTTTCAATTCATCTTGGTGTTCTAGGTTTTGTTTGTCTTGTTTTTGACATCCTGTTCTGTTTCATTTACTTGAAAATGAAACCACTTGTTGAGTCACGAGTGCTGATGCAGGAAGTGGAGTTTGCAGTGGGTGTGGTGTGTGTACATGGTATAAATACAGACAGTGTTTGACAGCTCTCTGCCCATCTGTTCGTCTTGCTATGCTTGAATTATGAAGCCTGTTGTTTTTGTTAACAAATGTATGTAATGAAATTTTTAATCAAATCACAATTTCTGAAGATAACTGAAGGTAAGTGTTTTTCTTTTTTCTCTCAAGTTTGTCCTTCTATTATAACAAATTTCATCGACAAAATAGTTAATCATAATTTAAAACTCTATAACAACAAATCAGCTACAGTGATTCTGTCGTGGATGAGTGGGTGGTTCTGGCTACATTCTTGGTTTCTGTAACTTTGTCCCAAGGTATTTGATGTAGCTTCAATCAGCATTTTATTTGTTGCTTGGCAACAGACTTCCCCAAGTTGGCTGTCTGCCAACATTTTGGTGATACTGACTAGCTGGAAGCTGTTATTTATTCTAGCTTTGCATCAGTGATTATGCTGCTGTTCAGCAAGAATGTCATCCCATTAGTGTAATCCACTTTCTAAAATACTCATAGTATGTGTGGTTGTCAGATTTTATGCCTGTCAAAGTGTTTCAACTTCTTATTTCTAAACCTCTCCTCAAGTCATATTTAAATGGCGTCAGAAATGACAGTAATGTTCTGACTGCATTTTAGCATGATCACAATTAGACTGTGTGCATAGTTTTATAATTTTCTGTTTAGTAGTTAACTATTTAAGGTCAAATTGAATACTGCGGTAAGTAAGGTTACCAGAGAAATGTTTTTGGAAATTTGAAGTTGTTTTTAAAAAAAATGTTTTGTTTTTTTTCCTCAGAAAATAGACTTGAAAAGGACTGATGAGATGAAAAAGCAGCTGATTTGGGTTACCATTTCGGGACATAAATCGAATAAATCTATGCTGCATATAATTACTCACAATGGCAAGACAAGGCCCAATTCAGCCTACTGTATCCAGAACAGTTAACCTTCATGTTGCATGCTCCTGGTGCTGCAAAAAAGAAAATGAAATAACATTTTCTGTAATCAGTCAAGACCACCCTCAGTGTACTGGAGATATTCTCTTGGCTAGGTGGGAAGGATCGCCTGAGAAACTGAGGCATATAAAATGTCCACCGGCATTTCCAAAGCCACGGGAGTATGTACCTTGTTGGTATTTCGTGGAGGGCTGTGGCTGCACATTTCATGGAAAACGCTGTGCCTTTGCAAGAAGTTCTGAGGAGGCTGCAGTGTGGAATTTTCTGAAGGAGAAACATCTCGACTACAGTCAGCTTATTAATCTGGTTAAGAGAGTCCAGTTTCTGAACCAGAACAAATCACCCGAGCATCCTCCAAATCAGCCAATGCAGCCTCTGGTCAGCTCTCCTCAGTTCCATTGCAAAGTGTGTAAGAAGTGGTTCTCCTCAGAGGAAAGATTCATGAACCACTGCTCTACTCCTGAACACGAGAGGATGATCTTCACTGATGCAACGGTAGAATGGAAGCATCGTGACCCACCTGAAAATGTGAACCAGTCCTACAAGATATGTGAAAGGTAGCATAACATACGCATGTAGCGCGGTATTGTTGAATTCTTAGATCTGATTGGTCAGAAGGCTGTTCTATAATTTTCTATAACTGCACCCATAGTGCCAGCCAGGCAAATCACAGAGCTATTATAATAAGACAATCTTGATCTAACAACTGGCTTTTGGTCATAGCAATGAACAATTTTTAATGAATGATGGTGGCTTGGGTAATATCTAAGAAAAAATTTTGATCATTGATCGAAGCAGTTCTACTAATAGATGTGTTTTCAGCTTGTAAACTTAAAATTAGCATCTTTATGTACAGACATTTAAGCCAAATGTGTAGTAACCATGGTATGTAGCTGGTTAATGCACTGCAAGACATGAAATATTCATTTTTAAATTTACTTCACTGCACAACATGTTCTCAGCAATGAGTTTAAGAACATATAATACATGGCTTGGTGTGCATTATTCCTTAATAAATATAGTTTTCAAAGTATTTAGATGAAGAATTGGTTTTGTACAAAGTAGCAGTAGAACTTGAACTGTTTCAATAATGACAGTTAGACCTGAATCTGCCTGAAACTTCTCTCCACAGACCTTCTACTTGTGTGTATGGGGATAACTGTACCTCAGCTCATTCTTTAGAGGAGCTGATGGAATGGCACATGCGGGACAAGAATGCGCGAAAGAGGAAAATGAAAGCAGCCGAAGAGGGTTTGCTGTCCTACCAGGAGCGATTACTGCAGGAGTACAGGGAAAGCATCAGTGAAGTTCTCATTGTAAGATCTCAACTCTTAATCCTGGCCATCCAGGGCACCTACAGTTCCCCAAATCACTCAGAACTCGTACTTTAACCTCAGATCTTCTTCTTTGCAGATGTCTGAGTCTGTGCCTGGTGTCACTGTGCACTGTGACAAGGATCTGTCTGTTGTTAGTCATTGGGAAGATTTGCCTTTAAAGTGGACTTTCAAAATAACATCAGAGGTCAGTTATTCTTAACAAGTCCTGGTCAGGATTTGCCTAGCAAGATTAGAATGCATTAACAAAAAAATAAAAATAAAAAAACAAGTTTCATTTAATCATTTAACTATCTCAAAAAAATTGTTTGATGGTTCACTTATATGAACTGTCCCCTCTGAACAATCAAACACTGCATAACTCCCATGGTTGACTGCCTAACCCTTCATGCATTAATTATTTCAGATGCCTCTTGTTCAAGTTGCATTGATGAAAAAGGAATCTGGAACTACATTTAGTTTCACATGCAACAGCCCTGAAGGTCCTTGTACTTATGCAACAGGAGAGAGGTTTTGGACTCCCAGTGGGGCAGTGCCTCCGCACCCCCAGCACCATCCTCTGAGGTTCCAGCACGTTCCTGGCCAGTGCCGCTTGGACTCGGCGACCATGTCCTGGCTTAATCCACAGGAGGCTGGGGTTGTTGTGCAGTCCTTTGAAATCCCTGTCTACTTTAGTTTGAGTTCAACCAGCACATTCAGCCCAGGTGTGTATGACCAGTGGCTGGTGTTCGACTTTGATCAGAGGCCAGTGCTCTTACAGAAACTTCAGGTGAGGGTGGGAGAGGATATGCTCCCTTTACCAGAGGAGATGCCCACGAGTGTGAGGCCCCTCATCCAGGATTTGGAGAGATGGCACCGGGGAAACAGATTCATCATTCCATGCATAGTAAAAACAGAGGAGGAAGAAGAGGAGCTCTTGAAGGAGTACAAGCCTCCTCAAATGAACTTGCAGTTCAACCCCAAAGCTGAAGACCACAGTCCCATAACCCGCCAGAACTACAGAGAGCGAATGCACAACTTCCTCTACAGAGAGGAGCTGGCACTAGAAGAGGTGGTGTCCAGGTAACAATACCTTCTGTAATCCTTTCATGGAATTAATAGGGTGGTTATTGTTTGTTTCGTCATTATTATCATTGAACATATTGCATTGTGGGTTGTGTGGTTAGCAGTGCAGTGTTGTACCCCCCAGACTACGTGTGAGTGTGAGTGTATCTCCAAGGTTTTCTCTTGCAGTGCAAAACCAAGCTTTAATATAGCTGGATTGGTGTCTCTAAACTCCCCATTGTGTGTGTGAGTGTGTGCCCTGTGATGCTCTGGGGTAGACCTCTGGCTCACCACTACCTTTACCGGACAAGTGCTTATAGAAGATGGAAGAATATTCTTGTTAACTAGTCTCAGAGGTGTAGCCAGAGGACAGGCAAGGCGGGAGATGGCCAGGGGGCCCCAAGGGTGGCTGACTACATGGTACATGGCAGGGGCAAATGCTTATTTGCGTGTTCTGTTTTTCACAAAAGGACTTGTTTTTCTTAAATTCTCTTTGTTGATATTATTAAATTAGACTTCACGCTAAAAGAATGGTAATAAATATTTCCATGTCAGTGAGTAGAGGGACCCCATGGAGTATTTTTTGCCTAGGCCCCCCAGAGTCCAAAGAATCAACTCTGACTAGTCTTTCATTTTTGCCTAATTTTCTTTACATTAATGACATTTGTACATTTGAATTATATGCAATTTGAAGTTCACACTGATTCAAAGGTTTTCTGTTATCTAATTAAAATTACAGACTCAGTCTGCAAAAAAACGTCTCCTTGACTAAAGGGATCTCTGGGCCTGCATTTGGGATGAAATTTGCTCCAGATAGGGAGCTTTTTGCTGAAGTCCCTGTTCATTTCTCCCTGACGCCCGACACCCCGGAGGGCTACGTGCTAAGGAGATCGGTCTGTTCAGCCCTGGTGGCTCCCGCGTCAGCAGCCAATCAGAATAATCAGGTCTACGAGGCGGACATCGTTCGAGATGCCAGCAGTGAGAACATGATGTATCTGCAGCTCTCCAAACGATGCTGCCATGACATGGGGCTCCAGAGCAACATGACCTGTGCAATGGAGGTCCAGTTTCAGATCAGTCGTCTTCCTCTCTGCGAGATGCACAAAGCCGTCGACCTCCTTCCAGAAGTTGAAATGGTTTTGCCAGACATGGACCAGTGCTGTGTTCCAGTGCACGCGGTGCAGTACACTAGGCTTAATGCAAAGCAGCAAACAGCCATGTCCTTCATCCTTGGCGAATCAGACGGAAGAAGAAGCGTCGCACCTCTCCTCATATACGGACCCTTTGGAACAGGGAAAACTTACACTCTGGCCACAGCAGCAAAGGAGTTGGTCCGTCAGCCTGGAAACAGAGTCCTAATTTGCACTCACACAAATAGGTAAGATTTCAGGCACTCAAGAGATTAATTATATTATATCAAGACTATATTAAAAATGTTAAGTGTGGTGCAACATACATTATAAAACCAATACATTAGTTACCTTTTGCAAGGATACATTGGTAACACTTTACTTGACGGGGCACAAGTAATATATATTATTCTATTACTTATGTATTAATTAACCACAAACTACAGTAAGTCTTAGTTACGTACTAATCTCATGTTAATTCATCATTAATGAATCATGATGCACATTTTGTCTTACTATATTTACTATATCTGTTAATTCTGTAAACCTTTATGAACTATTGAAAGAACTAATGAAGGAACTACTGAAGGAACAAGTCATGAATAACAAGTGAAATATTGATCTCATGTTCATTCATCATTAATGAATTGTGATGCATCTTAAGTAGCAACTATATTTGTTTATGATTTGTTCATGATTTGTACTTCAGTTATTCAGTTATTACTAAGTATTTGTGCTCTATCAAGTAAAGTGTTACCGATATATTTATGCTGTTAAATGACACATGGATTTTACATGGATATTCTGTTTCTGAGGAAATATCTCCTCTTTTTTCCAGTTCTGCAGATTTGTATGTGAAAGATCATTTTCACCCCTATGTTAACGCTGGAAATCCTCAAGCTCGACCTCTCAGGATTAAAGCCAACAAGAAAGGGGTGGTTAGCAGTGCAGCATATGACATTACGGTACAATACTGTCACCTTTCCACGGATGGTCAGTTTCTGTTTCCTGACAAGGCTACAGTAGACCAATTCAAAATAGTCATAACCACAGCTGCAATGGCCAGATTGTTCCATGATCTGAAGCTGCCATCGGGTTACTTCAGTCATATAATGATCGATGAAGCTTCTCAGATGTTGGAGTGTGAAGCTTTGATGCCCCTGAGCCTGGCAGGAAAAGGAACACGAGTGGTTCTGGCTGGAGACCACATGCAGATGGGTCCAAGGCTTTTCTCTCCAGAGGAAGGTCAACACCACAGTCATATTTTGCTTAATCGCCTTTTCCATCACTATAAAGCACTAAAAGAACACAATGTGGCTTTGAGCAGCCGAATCATCTTCAACGAAAACTACCGCTCCACTAAGGAAATAGTGGAGTTTGTGTCCACTCACTTCTACGTTGGTAAGAGTGATGCCATCAAGGCCAGTGGGGCAGTGCCTCCGCACCCCCAGCACCATCCTCTGAGGTTCCAGCACGTTCATGGCCAGTGCCGCTTGGACTCCACGACCATGTCCTGGCTTAATCCACAGGAGGCTGGGGTTGTTGTGCAGGTTGTGAAACATCTGGTGGAGAAATGGCCATCAGAGTGGGGAAATCGGGAAAGAAGAACAATATGTGTTCTTTCTGAAGGATGTCAGGTAATTCAAGTGCTACTGTCCAAGGACATGCAATTATTGTAAAACGTGAGTAACGCTGGGTGTGAGTCTCTGCCCTGCATCTATGTGTATGAAGTTCATATGTTCTTCCTGTGTTGTCATGGCATTTCCTCTGGTTTTCTCACACAGCCCAAAAACATGTAAAGGTGAATTGGAGTAGGTGTGTGCATAGGTGTGAAATTGAATTGGACACAAATGTAATTGTGTTGTTTGTGCACAAAACCATTGTTTTACAAAATATCTGATTTCTAATTTACAGATCACATTTATCCGGCAAGAACTGCGGAAGGAAAAGTTAGGAGATGTAACAGTGGAACATTTTGAAAATGTTCAAGGTATTCCCATAAAGCACAACTTATAATATTACTGCTTTTTTGTAATCTAGTATTTTATGTAATTCAGCAAAATATATGTTTACTACATCTCTGCATATTCAACATGACAACTATTCAATATGTAGTATAAGTACATATAGATAACATGTGTGTGTGTGTGTGTGTGTGCGTGTATATATATATATACTATTTTTTTTAAATAGGCAAACAGTTCCGGGTAGTAGTGATGAGCACCATTCACACTCGAGACAGCCTGCTCTCATCTGACTCAGCTTACCTGGATTTCTTCAATGATGCCCGAGTGCTGAATACTGCCATGACCAGAGCTCAGTCTCAGGTCATTGTGGTGGGAGATGCTGTGGCCCTGTGCATGTTTGGGAGGTGCACGAAGATCTGGAAAAGCTACACTGGGCAATGTATTGGGAAGGGAAGCATGAACCCACCACATCTGACTGTAGATGATATTGAAAAAGATGTGAGGGTAAATGCCAAATTTTTTAAAGAAACAGAAGAAGACACCAGGGACACAGAATCAATCGCATCTGAAATAAGTGACACTGAAGACCCTATACTGAAGGAGCTGTTGGAAAGCAAAGATGTCAGGATTACTGTCACAGCAGATGGCATCCTGGACATTTTTCCAAGTGAGAAGCTCAGAGAATCCAGTGAATCCCCAGAATATGACCGACAACCAATTCTGAGTTCAGCAGCTCCAGATTCGGAGTGCCTTTTGCTGACGAATCCACATCGGTTCAAACGCTGTGTTTTGATTATGGAGAGGTTTAATCTAAGCTATGCTAGACCTTTGGATGATCCCACTCTCTGTATTAAAATCAAAGGCAGGAAGAATGTTGGCCACTCTTTTCATAGAGATCACGTTGTAGTACAGATACTAAATGATGACCACTGCTTTCCAGAAGGGAGAGTGCTTGATGTTCTGCAGACAGAAGAGACATCAAGATTGCATGTCTGCACCATGGATAGATACGATCTTCAGCTGATGGTTCCCATTAACAAAGCTGTCTCAAAAATTTTCACTCCAATGTACAAGGACAAACCCAACTATGTTGCTGTGAGAACACCAGATAATGATTACAGGAAGCCAGTGAAGTTTGTGAAAATAAATGAAGTACTAAAGAGAGAAAGCCTTTTTGTTGTCAAGGTCTTGAAGTGGCAAAAAACATTTAAATGTCCCTTAGGCGTTGTAGTGGAGGTCCTTCCAAAGGTGACCTCATTAGAGGCTGGTCTGGAAGTCTTAGATATTGAATACCAACTCAATAGAACTCTTCCTCCATCTGTCCAAGAAGAAATGAATTGCATGGATATAAATGAAGGGGGCCAGAAAAGGAAGGATTTTTGTAAATACACAACTTTTACCATTGATCCAGAAGATTCACAAGACATGGATGATGCAATAAGTGTAAGAGATTTAGGCCAAAGATATGAAATAGGAGTTCATATTGCTGATGTTGCTAGTTTTGTTACCATGGGCAGTGCTACTGACCAATATGCTCAGAAACTTGGAGTTACTTTTTATTGTCCTGGAAAAGAACCTGAACATATGTTCCCAAAATGTCTCAGCACAAAGAATTTCAGTTTGTTGCCTAATTGTGAACGACGTGCCATTTCTTTGATGACAGAGGTGGACAAGAGCACAGACCGGATTGTGAGCAGCCAGTTCTATCTCTCTGTGATATGCTCAGACAGAAAACTGTCTTATGAAGATGCTGAGAAAATAATCCAGAGCAACTCTAACAAGAACCTGTCATGTGACACTTTGGAAGGCTGCATTGCAAAAGCTTGCCACTTTTCAGAAGTACTCAGAAAGGAGAGGAAACCAGCTGACTGGTGCTATAAATCACCTGATGAAGAAATCCACATGGGAAACAGATCTCACAAAATGGTTGAAGAGCTCATGGTTCTGTTTAACAGTTCAGTGGCTGACTGGTTGCTAAGTATTGAAAAGACAAAGAGTTTAACTCCTCTCAGATGTCAGGATAAACCCAGCCCAGTGGAAGTTTCTCATTTTAAAGAAAAGCAGAGGTCACTCATACCTATGTCCCTTCATCTTTCATACCATACAAATGAGAGTGAAAGTCTTGACAATAGCCAGAATACTGTGGACACCAGCAATTTCTGCATACTTAGTTCCTGGTTGGAACACCTTGAGTCTGCTGCTCACAAAGGGGATATTCATAAAGTAATTGATATAATTACAACAGACAACATTCATCCACAGTTGCTGCCTGTTGTAACTGAGCTCACTCATCTTCTTTGTAAGGCTCGTGTTCTTCGCTCCAACTCATCAGCTCAGTCCAGAGTGGGACACCATGACCTGCAGCTTGACTCCTACGCCTGGGCGTCATCACCCATACGCCGCTATGTAGATGTGATTGTGCAGAGGCTCCTGCATGCAGCTGTTGATGACTCAAACATCAAATACACACCTACAAACATTGATTGGCTTTCTATAGAATTTTCTCAGAAATGTATGGAACAGCAGGATTATGAAAAGAAGGCACAGCTTCTAAATACTGCATCACAGCTGAGCACACAAAGTCTAAGAAAGATATGTTTTGTTGTTGAAGTGCCCCAGAACAGCAAAATGTTTTCTTTACGCTTTCCTTTGAACAATACTTCACTGCCAAAACAAATGACCATAATGTACAAGGACATGCAGCTGATAGCCCAGCCGGAATTCGATGAAGAAAGTCAATGCATGATCCTGAATTGGGTGCGAAGGATTTATTCATTCAATAAGAATCAGTCATCTTTTTGTTCAGGACACCACACTGCTACTGAAACGACATTCATTCTAGCAGACACGTGGAAAGATATTCTTTCATCAATAAAAGCAGAAGAATGGGAGAATGTGCTTAAACTGACCAAGGAAATCCGCTCAAGTATTGTTAACGATGACAGCAAGCAGCCTGAAAGGTTAACAAGTGATGGTCACTACACTGATGTGTCCCTGAAACTGAAGGCTGGTCAGACAATGGAAGTACAACTTGGTTCAGATACAGAAAGAGGGTTGCTGGTCCCTGTGGTACAACTGTTGGTTGTTCATCCTGGGTTTGAAATTTGCCTGGAACATGTAAAGAATCCAGTGCAATGCTTTTCCCAGTTTGCGCTCCAATCTACAAAGAAGCACTATGACAGCTACATGGAATATCAGAAAATCTGGAAACCCCTTTGTGAAATGGAGTCAGCATCCAGTGCTGTGGCAGAAAATGACAGCATTATCTTTGAAGATATAGTCATTACTTTTAAGAAGGACAGTAAATGTAAGAATCTAGTTGGATTTTTTCGACTTCCGTTGGAGACCATCAAGCAGTGGTCCATTGACTGTGATCTGAAGAACTGCTTTTTGTGTATTCGACTGAGAAACCAAAAGCAAAATGTCAGACCAGGGAAGCTATCAGACCATATAGATCCCATGTCCTACACATGGATCGCTCATGGAATAACCACTAAAATCACTGATGAGGATGAATCCAAGATACTCTCCTATGTGCAAATATACTTCCGCGTCAATCACCTCACTTTCAAAAATAACCTGGAAAGTATCTTCAAGAAGGATACCAGATTCACTCTGGAGTTAATTCCCAAGCTGTTGCCTGATGTGTAAGTTCTATGCTATATATTCATTAAAAAATACTTATGTAGAACTGTTGTAAATAATAAAACATGCCCATTTTACTGGTTCTTGGGCAGACAAGGACTGAGGATAATGAGGACAGCTTGCAAATGGCTTAAAACCATCCAATGCAACTTCATGTCCAAACATTCAGTTAAATATTCTTAAACATTGTTTTGTAATATACAATGAGGATGCCTAAAATGTGTAGTTTAACTTCAACTTCATATGTTGATGATTGTTATTGAAAGTGACTGTTTAATTTTCACCATATTCAGGCGCAAAGAAGTAGCCATATGCCAACTTGCCCAGGCCAACCTGCTTGTGCAGAACATTGCAGTTGGCAGGGAGACATGCTTCAAAAGTGAGTGAATCATAAGGGAGTGATACAGTAAAGTGACCTGGGGCCTGTACTACGAAGCGGGGTAACTGGCTTATCAGGGTAACTTTGCGAGTAACTTGATGACGTGTGGTGTAACTTCACGATTAACCCGTACTACGAAAGGTGGGTAGGTTTTAGTCGAGACATACAGTATTGCTATGGCAATTTACCCTAAGTCTCAAAACTGCCCCGAGCAGTTTTTGTTCTTGGTTAAGTCGAGGTTTCCGCGTAAGCCAGCCCTA